TACAACTATTTTTCGCTGGGAAAACAGAAAAATGGTCATAATTTTTGAACGAAAAGCCATCCGCCCAAATCCTTTTTAGCTTTTTACAACTTCGATATGCTCTATCGATCGACATATGAACGAATGAAAACAGTGGGATACATATTCATAGGTTTCCTCATTAGAGCAGAAATACAATCGATATTTTCTGTTTACAGATTTTCGAATCTGTAAAGGAAACGGGCAATTGTATAGTTTCACCGATAATTTTTGTATAATTCTTTCTAATTCTTTTTGAAAACATGTTTTATGTTGGAGCACGTGATCATGATATAAACGAAAAGTAGCAAAAATATTGGTTGTCAAAGCAGAATAAACAAAAAGAAAGATAAAAATGAAAACTCAGGAAAATACAATTTTTACTTATTTTCAAGTTATTTACTATTCAGCGGAAATAAATAAGTATCTGATCAGAAAACCAAAATGAGAATCAAGCACATTTCGAAATAACATGCATTCTACTGTATTTTGAATAACTCTCAATAGAAACGAGATAGAAGCCACAAGATAGAGTAGGTGATAGCCCAAAGCATCATCTGAAAATAGAAATTAAGCGAGATCTTCATTTTCAGCTGCTTGAGGATGGCATCGGATCATAAGATACTGATTAAGTTGAGCCTCGTAGCAGTGTTCGTTTCATGGGAAAAATTTCAAAATTCAGTGAAAAACGAGTTTAACAAAACTGCGGTTCTTATGCTATTTTCATCGAACATTGAAACATTCATAAGTTATGAATCAAAGTTCGGTTGAAAACCAACCAAAATACTTCATAGTTTTGAAATACTTTTAAATTGAAGTGTTAGATGTGACTATAGGGTCAGAAAAACCAAGAATAACTTTCTTTTGTTGTTTGCGAAAGTATATAAGAATCGTTCGAAAAGACGTCTATTAGCGGGATGATCCATGTAGTTTCAAGATGACTTCAAGGCACTAGATACCTATGCTAGGCTACTCAGAAATCCGATTCCGCACCCGAACCACTGAAAATTAAGATTCTGCTTAGCTCCCATTTTGCGACGACACTGTGAGCTATCAATCTATGTAAAAGAAATCAATATATGCTGTTTCATTTTTTGAAGAATCAATGTGGATTTCCGAAAAAACGTCTTCGAGAAAGATTTGCAACTTTAGCCTATCTACACAAACGCATTCCCGAATCATCTCTATCGAATCTCGAGGTCCGTAGGTCTGTCTCATTTGTATTGAGAGCTATTTCAAAATGATGTAATTTGTTAAACTATTTGTCCTTTACTTCTTATGCTTTTTATAATTTTGATGTAACGGACGTTTACAAACAGCATCTATTTCCATATCTTGCTGATTTTGTGCATTTTCTATTGATATTGGACATGTAGTTGTAGTTGGAAATGGTGATCGTCTTGAAAGTTGAGCACGTCTTTTTGGCTTTTTTGCTGGAGGTTCTGACGGTTGAAATGTATTAATAGCTATAACAGAGAGAATTTGTAAAAATCAAGGAATGAGACCAGGAGTATTGCTGTCTTACATGATTGTCGTGAAAATGCTGGTTGTGCTGATGATTCATTTCGTCGATAACGTGACGATTGATTATTTAATGGAGCGGCAGCTAAAAAAAGAATTTTGATGTTAATTATAAATTATTAACTCACCCTCACCCAACAGCATACCTGATGTCCGACTTTTTGGATTTTGAAAGGTAAATGAATTCAAATACGTCGCAAATTGATCTGAAAAGAAAAATTATCAGCAACTGAGCTGAAAAACTGTTGTGAACATACTTAGATTTGTTTGGGTAAAAATTTCAAATAATCTTTCGATATGATTCTTGGATAAACTTGAAGAAAGTTGGTGAAACAGTTGTAAGTCAGTTATAGATGGTTGTTGTAGCATTGAATTTGAAGATGTTAGTGCTGTTCCAATTATTGGCATTGGTTGTGAAGGCGTGGCTGGTGTTGGCGATTGTGTCAATGCACTCTTCGGAGCGTCTGATTGCGATTTAAAAGACTTTACTGGGTTTTTTTGTTTCAGTAGGGGAGGCAATTCGGTTTTCAGTTGTTCATACGTTGCTGTATCTATTGGAAGAGAACGAAAATGTGTCGATGTTGGTGAAACGGCGTATTGAATATCATTATCCACAATTGTTTCTATAATATGACCATCTTTCACTAATTGTTCAATTGTTTCTGTCATATCTGTTTTATATTTTGAATATTCAGGTACGAAGTCAGCAACTTGAGAATAAAAATAAACAGCTTCACGCGATAATCTCCATTTTGTTGGTTTTCCAGATGTTTTGTACGCACTTTCGTAATCACTTAACTTAACATTATATTTTTTCAATTTAGCTTCGAAACTATCACGTTTTTGTTGGTCATGTGGTATGGGAACTTTCATTATGCTTTTATGATGACGGTTTTTAGAATCAACTAGCAAATCACTGGTAATCAAAATTCCATCATTGGTTAAATTTATTAAAGCGGGCTCAACTAAATGACTGCAATTGTGAAACGGTGAACTAGAAAAAGAATGGTTTTAAACATAATCGATAAAGCGTAATCGAAAATCCGTACTTTTTTATTTGCAATGGTTCCGGCATTGTTGATGTTAGAGCGCCAGACATAAAAAAATTAAACGGAAATAAACAAATTGTTCCTTCTGGTGTCGATGGTACACTTGATGATAATATCGGTGCTATCAATCTAGACCTGGATAACGATTTTTTTGACGTATACTGATCTTTCAGAGGTTCTGGTAATGTGAACAGTATAACAGCCGTATTATTTAGATGATCATAATAGTTACAGGCTGCAATACAAGCCGGTTTTTCAACGAATAACATTGGCATTCTGGGATAATACGGACTTTTAGGTACAGAAGCTAATATTTTATTCACTATCTTCGTTGCTTTTCGAATCACTGACTCACTAATTTCTCTTGATGCTAAATAACCATCATCAAATACAACGTCATTCTCACATTCGTTCAATACATCCATGGCATAATTGAATATTTGGAATAAGACGCATAAACGAGGAATGATAATCACTGATTTCGCATGAATATCGATTATCTGATCTTGTAATTCTTTTTCGTCTGGCTGGCCATTAACAGTTTTTTTCAACGTATAATCAATTATTTTATTATACGTGTAATTATAAGCACTACTTTCTGTGCCTTCGGCTCGATGATCTGATGACAATCCTGAATTTCGAGACGCTATTTCTTTTACAGAGAAGAACAACGAACGGTTATTGTCACTTCAGCAACTAAAACTGTTTTACCTTCTTTTGAATTGTCTTCATCTTTCTCGGATTTTCTCCATACATAATGAACATCACCAAATAAATGTACAATCAATGAAACATGTGCAAATGATGGAACATTTTGTTTATTTATTTTCTTCTTCTGACTATCGTAAAAGAAACAACAATAATTAACAATAGTTTTATATTGCAACTACTACCCATTTCGAAATATGGTGTCTCGAGTATTTTTTGAATAACGCTTGATAAAGAAGTGATACTAATTACGGTTTTGCCAGTTTTGTAGAAGACACATTAGAATAATGACCAGTGACAGCATTAAGTAACGAGTACTATATGAAGATGCTGTACCTTACCACTAGACACAGGCGAGATAATCATTCGATGAAAGCAGAATGGACTTTTAATTTCAATAGAGAGTGTAAACTCTCAAGCTCTCATTTGTGAATCAACACAAGCTCGAGATCTTCATGTTCAGACGCTCTTTTTGAGGTCGGGAGATTTTGGAAAAGAAGGGAAGAATAAGTTTTCAACATCCTTAACGTGCGTAAGGCTACTAGTAACTGATTTGAATTGATTTTAGATAAATTATAAGATTTTCATGGTACTGCACATATAAACTAAAAGTGCTTGATTTCCATCCAACAAGCTCGAGATGTGATGCTCGATGAAAAAGCAAATTTTTCTTACTAGATTTTCTAGAAACACTCTCGGGAAAAG